AGCAGCGAGTTTACATGCAAAGTCAATGGTTAACGCGCTGCGGGACCTTTTGCTGCACCTATATGCGCGTCAACCATTGACTTTGCATGTAAACTCGCTGCTTCTGCTGCACCTTTGTTTCCCCATGTTTTTCACATCAGCTGTGAGATGGGCACGCATGGAGTTACATATTAACAGCGATGGTGATGAGTGGAAAAAAAAAACACCTGGTCTCCTTACATTCAGCCACTCTTTCATCATCTCCTCAATGAGGTGGTCTCAAAAGTCGCAGTTACAACACACATAGGGCGCACCACACATTTTGAGAGAAAAAAAAGACGTTTAAGTGCGCCTTATAGTCGTGAAAATACGGTAGTCAATGTAGAAAACTAATTGAACAAGATTAAAGTCAAGTTACATATTTTCTGTTTGCAGCTGTATATGTTTTTAGCAGTTCTCAAAATAATTTTAGTAGTACTAATGCATGTAGTGACAGTATTATTAGCTAAATATTAGGGCTGATTGTGTAAATATTAGTTTAAGTTATGTCTACTTTTACAGCAAAAATTGAAATACTTCGAAGTTAAATATTTCCTATTACTCGTTTTATTGTCACAAATGGCATTACAAGAAAAAAGCGCTAATATTTACCTTGCTAACACTCAGATACATACTTTTTAAATAATGAATTTGATACAAGTCAAGTGATGCTGCTCCCTTTAACTCTGTCAGTGAATTGTAGCCATGAGCACCACCAGATAACCGGTGATTTATACTCAGTAATTATTAGGTATCATGGTAAATCCAGTTACTGTTTATAAACAGTTAGAACAAAGTCTTGTTAGCATCCCAACCTCTCACCAGTCTGTAAAGTTTTATTTCTTTTTTTTTTTTTTTTCCTTCAATCAGAACATCACAGTTCAACACGTCCAGAGTCCAGAAATATGACTTTTAGGTTAAGTAGCACCTCTATAATGTCCTTAGATGTGTGTTTCGTCATGGTCGCGTGTCTCTGACCTGTCCAGGATCTCTCCAGACCGCTGGTGATAGGCACCAGACCCACTGTGACCCTGACTGATTTAGCAGGAGAAGATGGATGGATGTTTTGAAGTAAAATAAATACAAAAATAACCAAGTAATACAAAAATGAACAAATATATTAAAATTGTTAAATTAAATTAATTTAAAAAGACAATGGGGACATTCCTTTAGTTGATGGTTAGTTGAATGGTTTAGTTTAGTTGAATATTTATAAATGATTTATTAACTGTTCTTTTTTATTTAATATGAATGAAATGGCTTTCCATTATTTCAGATGGTGAAAGTTTTATATAATATAGAGGCATTACATAGTGCAATATTTCAAATCATCGTAAATATGCTGATTATGGGCTAAAATTGATGGAAATCCAAATTCATTGTCTCAAAAAAAATTCTACAAAAATATGTTTCAAACATAAATGTCTAAGGCTTTTGAAAAGTATGTCAATTTATTTGTACTTAGTGCTTGGGGCTCCTATTGCATGAATGAACTGCAGGAATGTGGCCTGGCATAGAGGCCATCAAGCTGTGGTTCTGCTATGGTGATCAGGAACTCCAGGCTGCTTCGGAAGCTGACTTCAGATCCATTCAGTAAAGTGTTTAATACCTTCCCCTCTTGATAATCCTAGATGGCTTCTGTATTGGTTTCCTGTCAGGTGAAATTGCTGCCCAGTCAGTCACAGTAACACCATCGTTACTGATCTGGTTTTAAGTACCTTTGGCAGTGTGGCAGGTACCACATTCTGCTAGAAAATTAAATGAGGCTCTTAATAAAGCTTTTCAGTAGAACAAAACATGAAGTGTGCTAAAATGTACCTGAGAATTGTCTGCAGTAACCCTGGTCATGAAATCCTTTGAACCTTTAGTTCACTTACAAAGTCGAGAGATAAGGCAGCAAAAGAAAAGTAAATAGGCTCTAATATTATGCTTTATTAAATCTGAGGTACACATAACACTTCACACACCCTTCACCAGATGGATTTTCTTGGAGTCCAAGAAAGAAAAGAAAAAAATTGTTATGCAGATTTTACTAAGAACAAAAAAGGTTTTTTTGCACAGTTATAGACACCACTTTGCTGCTACTTATAATATGTGCTCTAATGTGACTGAACATATCCCCTTTGTCATGAAAACCTTTAGCATTTGCCTGTAACTATTTTATCTTTGTTTTTTATCTTGCATTATCCGTTTTGTCAGAGGAAATTTGTGAATGTAACCAGCTGTGGGTATACAGCAGTATTCACAGTTGATGTCCGCAAAGGTGCTTTATAAAGTGTTTTTTTTTTCTTCTTTTTTATAGACTGGCCAACTTTCTGCTCTGATTCTCTTTAGACTCTCAGAATACTTTGTAGAAGTGCTCAGAGTATCTATGAGAAGGAAATTCTTTAGAGATTCCTGTAAATCAAAGTTGTCTAAGAAAAAAAGTAAGAGATTTTGGGTTATTTACAGATGAGCATCGACTCAACAGTGCCAGACTGTGCCTGATCATCCTCACATGCATCGCTGAGGTTGGAGCTTCCCCTGTGTTGAAATGTTTACATCTGGCTAAATTGGCCAATAGTCTGAACAGCTTTGTTTTTGATTGGCTCTGCCACAGGACCAGTATGCTGATGCCTTTCTTCATGACGACAACATTAACTTCAGAGTCAGCCTCCACAAAATGGTAAGTTTGTGGTTGTCAGGAAGGGAATTTAAGCTGTTTCAACTGTTCTACATGATATTTGAGTATTTTTAAAAGAAGCAGGCACACCTAGGAGAGTTGGAACCTGTTTTTCAATATCATTATTTTTATTTTTTTCAAGTGGAATTAGACATACAGTCTGTGAGGATACCATTCAACGATCTTCATGTTCAAACAGATATTAAAAGTAAAATGTACTCCTCTAAGATGTTAAAACTGATAATTGACATGTCAGTCCTCTTGTATAAGTAGATTATTTAATTTCTTTTTTCTTTTCTTTTTTTCAGCCGATGAGACACCGGAAAAAAACCCCGGGCAAAAACATCCCCTCACGACCACTGGTCTGTGCTGTTCTAGGTATCCAAACTGTTCATCTAAACAACTTTTCCACTGTAAACACACTCATTCTACAAACCCATTGAGTCAATTAAAAAATATTTACTTTTTAATATTGAAAACACAGCTTTTTGTGTAATATATATATAATTTAATAAAGATTCATGAAAAACTTTCTTTTCCCAAATCAGTGATTTTTTTTGCTTCTGTTAACTTTGGCTCTAGATCTGCACATTTTGTATAGTTTAATCATTAACATTGTATATAAATATTTAGCTCCGTTATTTGTTATCCATCCGCGTTTTACATTTATAAACTTTAGCTACCGGTACGTAATTCCATTGGGCATGTACAGAAAGAAGTAATGTTTGTTTTTTTATTCTTCATTTTTTAAATAAGCTACACTTTTACCTAGAATAAACTCCTGAAAATGTCATGTTATGTATGTTATTTCTAACAGTTCTCATTTTTCTGTTCTCTGCAGATCTAATGGTGGAGTTTATCGTCACTCATATGATGAAGGATTTTCCTATGGATCTATACTTGTAAAAATGCAAAATCCCAAGCACATTTTTGTAATTCATTTTCTGTTCACTTCTCATATATAGTAAATTATTTTCTTTCTTTTTTTTGTGAAGACGCTGTGTACAAATCATTCACAAACTGCTGTGTTACCAGAAGAAATGCAGAATCCGGCTACACTACACCTGGAGAGAGCTGTGGTCAGGTAAAGTGATCTTTAGCTTTGTGTTTTTCTGTTTCTTTTGTCAAAACATTATTCTTAATGGTAATGGTCACCAGTACTTAAGCATTTATAAACTCCAGCTTATAAACACTTAAGTACTTCCTTCAGTATCAGCTTTCACACAAAAGAGTGGTGTTAGTTTAATTTTAGTGTGGATCTAATCTTATCTAAGGATAAGAAAAAGTTTGCATTTTGAGGTACTGTTTGGCCTGTGAGCAGCGGGAAGGATCGACCTGTCAGATGGGGGGGATTCAGCATCTGATTTCTCCTCAGTGTTTTAACAGACGAGTTGCTGACATCCAGACACAAAGTGTTATTATATTTTGTTAAAGCTGATTATTACACACACTGTTTACCTAACCACAATATTAATCTAGTAATGACTTGACGTGCCTTTGCGACTTTTTGGACAAACCAGATAAATAAATATATTATGCTATCCCTGAAGTTGGAGTAATTTGGTTCTATTTGGGCTGAATAAGCCAATTTTATTATTAAATCAATGTGCTTGTTGTTTTAAAACAGTACTGCATCACTGAGGTTGCATAATGATCCTCTGAAGAGAGATCCATCCATCCTGGAGGACTTACTTTTAGCTGGGTCAACACACAATAGGATAACATTTCAGCTTGTAATGGCCTCATCACACTGCGTCTCATTGGAATACAAATTTCTCTAATCAGACCAATAATCACATTAATGCCTTGAATAACATCGACTGGCCCTTCTTGCCGGCGATAACGGCTTCACAGAAAATAAACCTGTAGACGAAAAATAGGCGAATTAAAACACCGGATGCTTTTATCTTTCTTCGGTGTCTTGTTGTGCCAGTTTGTGTTGCCGTTTATTCAGAGCAGGCTTTCATTTTAGTTTCCATGATGGTTTTTTTTTTTCCTTCTGTAAAATCTTGCAGAGAGCTTTGCTATGGTGTTGAAAGGCTTTCCCTCCTCCTGAGTTTCATTATCCACCTTAATGAAGACACAGGCTGCTGCTATCTGCCTCTGCTGGGAGGCGACAATCCTCATTATTTCTTTAATACAAGTGTCTTTATGTGCAGCTCTCATCAACCTGCTGAAGTTCCTGCTGTCCAATGAAACCGCACTACTGGCCAAGCACAACATCTTTTACCTGGCCTTACTGGTGAGGAACTCTGAGACACACAAAGTAGAGATGGGAGCTTGATAGACCAATTAGTGCTCCTTTAATGACATTTGGAGATCAGTTATGGCTTCATCTAATATAAAATTTGTGTATTTTTTTCCTGAAACTTTTTCAGTATGACTTAAGATTCTCTTATAAATACTAATGTAGCATCTTTATATGTTTTATGTCTGTTTATCGTGAAACGTTTCTTCTTTTCCAGGTGGTCAACTTGTTCAACATGTTTATAACCTATGGAGACACGTTCCTACCAACATCCAACAGCTATGATGAGCTGTATTATGAAATTGTACGAATGCACCAGGTCTTCGACAACCTCTACTGTATGGGTACGCTAGAAAACCTTATCGTTCATCATAATGGGAGCAGAATCATAAGGCTTATACAGTGCTTAATTAGTGCTGGTGCTAGTGGTGGCTCTGGATCCAGTTAAGAACCTGAGAACTTAATTAGAGCCACAACTTTACAAACATCTCATCCTGTTAAGGGTTGATCCTCCCCCTGTTTTATTCTTAATGCATGGTGAGGTTTTAACTATACATCGTAGTATTTATCTTAGTTTCCCTGCAAACGAATACCCTGATATCGCCAACTTAATCTCTATCAGAATTAGAAGTGCTTTACAATCTGTTATCTGGACTGCTGGAAAAGTCAAACAGCTTTTTGAGCAAAATGTATTAATGCAACCTTGACCATGGGATTTTGAAAGCAACAGGGTGAAATAAATGAATCATCAGTCGAGTTGATAGATTTATTTGAAAAGAACCTGATCTTATTGAAGCTCTATAAGCTGCATTTTCCCTCTTTAACTTAATAAAAAATAAATGGAAAATATGAGAGAGCTTGTGTTATTCAGATTTTGATAAAATATAATTGTTAAAGTGTGTATATATATGTATATGTGTGTGTTTTTTTTAGAATTAAACTTTAGAATTAAAAGTGCATGTTCAAGTTATATGACATTTCTTAAGATTTATCCACCTCTAACTCACTCTGGACGCATACAAAGTCCTGAAAGACAAACAACTCCTGGCGTACTATTATTCCTGGTGTACTTTTTTTTCCATAAATAGAACCCTTAGGGTATATTTACAGAGACAAAAAATAAACCTTATATTAGTAGTTCTAAGCTCAAATGGTTTGGGGTCATTTTTGTTTAGGCCATGCACCTTTAACTATAGTTGTAAATGTGGTGCCAGTTTTTCTTGGCCAAAGGAACCATAAAGGACTGATGCTGCAATAAATAAGCCACAGTCCCAGTTTAGTATTGGAACCAACTTCATGCACTATTAAATCCTAGAGAAAAGGCTAACCTGGCAAGACAAAACTAATAATGTGTAGCACTCAGGTTTAGTTCTACATATTATTCTGGTACCGTTCTGATCAAATTTGCTGAAGAGAGGGACATTCAACAGAATATTTTGAGCTCAACGGGTGAAGTGACACCTACTGGCCGCATTGCAAAGTTTGGTTTTAGCCAATTACGATATCAAATAACAGCAGATGCCACGAAAAACAGCAATTTAAGCCCTGAATGCACTGAATACGATTTTGCTTCCAAACCGACAGAAAATCCTGCCATACAAGGTCGTGGCACTTCGGGCTAAGTTACAGTCAATGTGAATGAACACACCAACGAGATTTTCAGCAAGGGGGCATGTTTATCCCGAACTGACTTAGAGCAAAGGTCTATTTTAGTCTGACTACATTGCAATTCAGCTTTAATTTCATGGGTCTGACGGGAAAGTTACTAAGTAAAACACATCTGCTTTGCAGGGAATATAAAATACAATCTGTCAATCGCAAGAGAAAAGAGTCAGGTTTGGAGTCACAGCGCATATATAGCAGACTGGGGCATGCAAAATAAAATTGTTCGAGCTGAGGGGCAGTACAGGAACGCACAGCTTATCATCACTCTTCCCCAAATAAAGAGAGAAAAAAGATTATTTTATTCAACAAGATTTCGTAAATTACGATTATTGTGAAAAATGGGAAACGTAAAATTAGAAATTAATTCTTAGAGGGAAGGGATGTTCTTCCAAGTGCATACAAAGAGATCCTGGGTTTTTCGGCTGTCACTAACCAATGTTTCCACTGTAGAACGGAACAGCATTTCTTGCTAATTAGGATTGTGTTTCTTTCTTTCTTTCTTCTCTGCAGTTTTGAGAGTATCCACCAACACAGGCCAATGGAAGGAGGCAGCCAGCAAAGTTACGCACGCTCTGGTCAACATTCGGTAAGGACACCATCCATTTTCAATTATTTGAAATAAAGCAGGTGCTGAATTACACAAGGTAAAAGTGATCAGAACTGATTGGAGAATTGCCTCAAAAGGAAAGGTTCTCCTTAATGCAACACAAAAAGTTTGGTATTAAAGTTTTCCACCCCTTCTTCTTGTGCACAATTTGTCCCATTACAACCACAAATTTCAATGTGTTTCATTAACATTTTATTTGATGGACACAACACAAAGTAGCTCCTAATTGAAGAGTAAAGTAAAATCACACATTTTTAAAAATGCTTTTATGTGTTAGAATAGCAGATAATAGAATATGGTTCATTAGTCACCTAACTGGTGAACAGAGTCAACCTGTCTATAGTTTCATCTCAGTATATTCCAACTTTCCTGTAAAGACCTAAGAGGTCTGTCAGAGAACAAATGGCATCATGAAAAACAAAGAATACTGCAGACAGGGATTAAGATGTGGAAAAGTTTAAAACAGGGTTTGAATAATAAAGAAGATATTGAGCTTTGAACATTCCACAGAGCTCCGTTCAATCCCTAATCTGGAAACAGTCAGATTTATTGGGAGCTGCAGAGATCCATGGTTAAGCTAGAATGTCAATGGCACAAATATTATTAGTAAAATCTGAATCCGTTCCCAAATAGTAAACTTATTTTCCACCATAATTTACAAATATATTCTTAACAAATCCTACAATGTGATTTCCTTGATTTTGTTTCTCATTTCGTTTCTCATAGTTGAAATGTACCTATGATGAAAATTACAGACCTCTCTCATTATTCTAAGTAGGAGAACTTGCACAATTACTGGCTGACTAAATACTTTTTGGCTCCGCTGTAAATAAAAGTGCAAACCCGCAGAAGAATTTAGACTGACATTTGAACTGGACCTTTCTACAAGACAACAACCCTAAATATAAACCCAGATCTACAGTTTAATATTTAAATCAAATCAAATTCATTACTAGAAAGAACCAGTAAAAGTTCAGACCACCTCCCAACGTTAAATTTATGGCAGGACTTGAATATATATTCACTGATACTCTTTTTCAAGAACCTAAAAATGATATGGGAGGAATAAAAAGCATTTGAATGAAAGCAGAGGAGGGTATAAAGAAGTTAGATGGTTGACAAATGAAGCCAAATGAAGGAACTGATTCCATTTTCCTTCCATCAGTTCTCTACTGTCATCAATCTGTGCTCACAGAGGAATTACATTGGATGAGAAATCTCTCCAGCTTTTTCCATGTTAATATATTTGATATATTAGGTACTCCAAATGAACACTGAATTAACCATTTTATCTCTCAGCTACGCTTATTAAATCACCTTGTATTTGAGCTATAAAGCAGTTTACTCCTCAGAATAAATGCTATTGCTGGAGAGATCTGAATTTCCATATGAGATTCTCTGGAGGCCTCCCTGAGTTGGAAGAAGGGAATGAGATGATAACTAATATGGAGTTAGCAGACTGGCAGCAGCTGGTAATGTTTCCCGACTTGTCTGCATTAGTTTGCACATAAGCTGCTTTCATAAGTGAGCTTTCAGTTTGAAAGTAAGTTAGAAAGAATGGAGATAAATCTGACTCTGGCTGCCTTTAACTACTGCAGTGTTTGAGAAGTTACAGCATCATATTGGCACCTTTGGTAAAGATGCGGAATAAAATCTTTAAAATTGCTATTATGTGGAGTTGGTGACAACTAGATGTTACTTTCTGCTACAGTTGTTTAACATTTTCCATGCATGGATTGTGTTTTTTTCAAACACCGGTCGACCGGCTAACAATCGGCATGTGGCTCCTGATCCACTGACAAAAAAAGCCGTGTTATCTCCTGCTGACAAGCTGCATGGCCTCTGCCCCCCAACAACTGCTGCCTTCTGGTGACACCATCACGCTGGTTTAGCGTTGATTATTTCACCAGTGTGGCAGAAATCAGGAAACTAAACAATGGAGAGCAACATGTAAGGAAGTTAGCTCGTTGTCAATGTGCTTTATTGTTTTGCTCCATTAGGTCTGAATCTCTCCCACCAAACTGATTGTTTCGGATTGTTAGATCAGACTCAACTGGTGCAGTGTGTTGACGTCCGAATGTTTCGCTCATGGTATCAGGGTAACTATTGGGTCGATCCAGCTCTGGTGCTCCCACTGTATGCTGATCTGAGCCGACCTGTTTTAAGGTGATTTTAATGCGGTTCGCTTGCAGAGCTGTTTGATGCTGGTTGACACGGGTCACTGAACCGTTCCCACTGCCACTAAAAGCAGATTGTTCCCAGGTTTAAACTGGGTTTTTTTCGGCCAGTGGGAAAAAAGGGTATAACTGACTTGTTGTTGAGGTCCTTTATAGGGCTGTGCAATATGACCTCAAATCAATGTCATGATAAATTGGGCAGTCTTACCTTGATAACGATAAATGCATGATAAATGCTCCTGCTCCTCTTATCAGAAATCAAGGCATGTGCAGGAAATACAATTGATTTATTCATAACACATTAAGTCTTATACCCATTTAAGTTTAAACTTGCACACCCCTTTACTCAAAACCGATCTGTTGCGTGCTCAACTCTAACAACGCGCTCTCGATTTCTTCTTTCTCATTTCTACTCTTGCTCGGCTCCACAGGATTAACTTATGTAATTTCGTTTACAGCTGTATTAGATGCTTCTTCACTAGGCTAACCTCCATTCTCTATGTTTACACTTCTGACTGGAAGGGTGGAGTAACGTGATTACACACATGCTGCAGTGTTTTAAAGGGGAAGGAAATATAGGCCAAAAGCGCACACAGGCAAAATTACGTTCATTTCTTTTACAGACATGGGAAAATTGTCGCTGGTTATTGTAGTGAATGACGCTAACAGTTAAAATCCAGTTTACCACCCAGGCCCAGTAGTTTATCTAGTTATTGCCCCATTTAAGCTACCCCTCTGAAACCGATCCATGCCGAGTATGGACCAAGCTTGGATCAGTTAATTGTGTTGTTTGGCACGGTCCAGTTCGGCTGCATTCCATTTACACTCAACTGTTATCTCTGTTGCCATGCTCAGACCGATCTCGGCACTTTTTCAAAAGGGTAGCATAAATGGGGCGAAAGAAAACATTTTGGGAGCTCGATTTCTGCAATCCTCTTCAGATGGTGTAATAAAGGTGTACTTCTGGTGGTCATGTGTTACAGTCAGGTTTTTGTTTCTCTGTTAAATGTATTGAATCAAAAGGAGTGTACATTGTTCTATTCCAGCTGTTTTCTTTAGACTGCGGTCAGCCCCTTGCTGACCATATTTACATGACTTTTAAAAAGTTTCCGCAGAATTCAGCCCATATTCTGATGTTTGGTGCTGCTTTAGAGATGCGATTTTACCTTATTAAGCCGTAAACATCTGTTTTCACACCATAATCTATCTGTACTTTTTCATTCTTCCTGTTAATTCACTGCATTGCACTTAACCAGCACCCTTTTCTGTCTTTAAAGAAATTTTATAGAAATAACCTTGATTGACTAATTTTATTTTCAAATTTTAGCTTTAATGTCTAAGTGTACGATGTGTTTGTATATTATTACTTTGCTGAAGTATTTTAGATGTAGGCCTTGGAAGGTAAAAGGATCAGCAGTTCAGACCTTCTATAAAGTAAACATTTCTGATAAACGTCTGATCATCTCTTGTCTGCACTAAGCCAATCTACATAACTGCATCTTCTCATCTTTTTGCTCAAACACTAAAAACAGACACACGGGCAGTGGGTATGTCTGAAAGGGATATTTAAAATATCCAATGTAACTTCATTTAGTTTTATTTATTTTTTTTTTTTGTCTTTCAGGGCAATCGTCAACCATTTTAATCCCAAGATTGAGTCGTATGCTGCAGTGAACCACATCTCCCAACTGTCAGAGGAACAGGTT